GGAAAAATGCCACATTATTGGTGCCAGTGGGAAGAATAGTTCCATAACATTGGTGTCAGTGGGAAGAATAGTTCAATACCATTGGTGTCAGTGGTAGGAAAAGTGCCACATCATTGGTGTCAGTTGTAAGAATAGTGCCCCATCATTAGTAGCAGTAGTGCCCTATTGCTGGTATCAGTAACAGTAATTATACCCCATTGTTGGTGTCATTAGAAGGAATAGTGCCTTGTATCAGTGGGTAGAATAGTGCCTCAAGGGCCTGATAAAGGCAAGCAAAGGGCCACATCCGGCCCCTGGGCCGCAGTTTGCAGACCACTGTACTAAGGGATTGTATAACGGTGACATGTTGGTCTCATAAAGACATTGGGAGACATAATAATTCTATCTACATGATCGCAATTGCCATTCACTCGCTCTGGCCAATGAGGACGCTCGTCTGCGAAGAGCCGAAAGCTTGAGCTTTCATTAGTGAGGTGCAATGGTTAGCGAGTGTTGTGATTACAAAGTGACAATCATTAGGCGCAGCAGGCGCGCTCAGCAGGGAAGCCCCGCAGTTTGAAAATTGTTAGTGGTTGTAAAGACCACATCACTTTATGATCTGTAACTGAACAGCAGGATCTCCTAGGGAAAAAAAAAAACGTAGCCGTAACAAGCCGGTCTGTCAGTCAGCGACTCAGGACCGCACTGTAAGTGACTTAAAGGACTTTCTACCATGCAGCACAGCGCCTTGTCTGCCTAGCAACACTAGGGTCATTGGTTCAGATCCTGGGGCCACGACACTATCCAGTTTTCACGCGAGTTTGCGTGCCCTCCCTGTGCTCAGGGGCGTCCCTAGGGTTGGTGTCACCCGGTGCGGTAACACTTGGTGACACCCCCTCTGACGATCCCCGCAAGATGGATCGAATCTGCGGATTGAACATAATGGTTCAGAGTCCGATTCATTATCCTCCCCAATCCGCAGATCAGATCCATCCTGCGGGGATCGTCGGCTTGCAACCTATACGGGGTTAACTGATCTCTCCACGAGCTCCACGAAAAGGTAAGTTTTAAAGCAAGCCGACGATCCCTGCAGGATGGATCGGATCTGCGAATTGAGCATAATGGTTCAGAGTCCGATCCATTATCCTCCCCAATCCGCAGATCCGATCCATCCTGCAGGGATCATCGGTTTGCAACCTATACGGGGTTAACTGATCTCTTCATGAGCTCCACGAAAAGGTAAGTTGTAAAGCAAGCCGACGATCCCCGCAAGATGGATCGGATCTGCAGATTAAGCATAATGGATCGGAGTCCGATCCATTATCCTCCCCAATCCGCAGATTTGATCCATCCTGCGGGGATCGTCGGCTTGCAACCTATACGGGGTTAACTGATCTCTCCACGAGCTCCATGAAAAGGCACATTTTAAAGCAAGCCGACGATCCCCGCAGGATGGATCAGATCTGCGGATTGAGCATAATGGAGCAGAGTCCGATCCATTATCCTCCACAATCCGCAGATCCAATCCATCCTGCGGGGATCTTTGGTTTTCAACCTATATGGGGTTAACTGATCTCTCCACGAGCTCCACAAAAAGGTAAGTTTTAAAGAAAGCCGCCAATCCCCACAGGATGGATCAGATCTGTGGATTGAGCATAATGGATCTGACTCCGATCCATTATGCTGAATCCGCAGATCCGATTCATTATGCTCAATCAGCAGATCGGATCCATCCTGCGAGAATCGCCGGCTTGCTTTAAAACTTACCTTTTCATGGCGTGGATCCGGTGTCACCCCGTGCGATAGGTGTCACCCAGTGCAGCGCGCACCCCCTCACCTGCCTAGGGATACCCCTGCCTGTGCTTGTGTATCTTTCCTCCCATTCTGGTAGTATAATTGGCTCTGTAGTATGTGGGATAGAGACCTTAGATTGTAATCTCCTTCAGGGCAGGGACTCATGTGATCTATACAGTATATAAAGCTCTGCATAAATTGTTGGCACTATATTAATACCTGTAATGAATAAAAAGAAAATGCCTCCATTCTGCAGAAAACAATTCTAACGTGAGCTGCGTTCTACGCAGCATTCTCCTATTAGTTCAGGCTGGCTTGGGGGCACAACCACAGAAGGCATGTCTATGACACCCTGGGCACATAGGAAGTGGGTTGTCACTGGATGTCATTCAGCCAAGAAGAAGGACCCAGCTACAGGTCAGGAGGAAGTTGTAGACACAGTGCAGTGTTTGGATCTCCAGTGGTGCAGCACCCTTCCCCGCACATTGCTCTAAACTGGCCCTTTAAACCAGAGTGCCACAGCACTCTGGGGGTGCCATCTGTGTTCTACTGGGGTGCAGCGGCAAAATGCCTCAAATTGAGAAAAATTGTCAACAGGCTGGAGGGTGGATCAAGCCAACCTTTTTTGTTACACAAAGCCATAGGTGTTAATTGTGCAGCAATACAATTTCAGGCACCCTGAGGGCCAGCCACTTACGTCCTAACACCCAATGACATCATCAGTTGATAAGGAGCATGTCGGCACCTCCCACGACATCCTTGTTTGCCCCTTCCCTGTCCCTCTCTATCAGCACCGGGGTCACATTAGTGGCATAAGGGAGAGAAAGGAAAAGGAGAGGAGAAGGGGAAGGAGAAGGGGAAAAGGAAGGAGAAGGGGAAAAGGAAGGAGAAGGGGAGAGGAGAGGAGAAGAGAGAGAAGAGAAGAGGAGAGTGGAGAAGAGGAGAAAAGGAGAGGAGAGTGGAGAAGAGGAGCAAAGGAAGGAGAAGGGGAAGGGAGAGAGGAAGAGGGAAGGGGAAGTGAAAGAGAGAAAAAGAAAAGAGGAAGGAGAAGGGAAAGGCGAAGGGGAAGGAGAAGGGGAAAAGGAAAGAGAAGGAGAGAGGAGAGGAGGAGAGAGAGAAGAAGAGGAGAAAAGGAGAGGAGAGTGGAAAAGAGGAGAGGAGGAAGGAGAAGGGGAAGAGGAAGCAGAAGGTGAAGGGAGAGAGGAAAAGAAAGGAGAAGTGAAAAAGGAAAGAGAAAAAGAAAAGAAAGAGGAAGGAGAAGGTGAAGTAGAAGGGGAAGAGGAAGCAGAAGGAGAAGTAAAAGGGATATGAATAGGAGAGGGGGAAAGAGAAGGGGAGAGGAAGGAGAAGGAGAGGGGGAAGAAGAAGGAGAAGTGGAAGAGGAAAGAGAAGAAGAAGGAGAAAGGGAAGAGGAAGGGCAAAGTTTAGGGGAAGAGGAAGGAGAAGGGAAAGAGGGAAGGAGAAGGGGAAGAGGTAGCAAAAGGATAAGTAAAAGGGAGAGGAGAAGGGGAAGAGGAAGGAGAAGGGGAAGAGGAAGTGGAAGGAGAAGTAAAAGGGAGAGGAGAAGGTGAAGAGGAAGGAGAGGGGGAAGAAGAAGGGGAAAAGGAAGGAGAAGAAGAAGGGGAAGAGGAAGGAGAAAGGGAACAGGAAGGGCAAAGTTTAGGGGAAGAGGAAGGAGAAGGGGAAGAAGGGGAAGAGGAATTAGAAGGGGAAGGAGAAGGGGAAGAGGAAGGAGAGAGGGGGAAGTAGGGGGAGGAGACTGTCTGTTCATTACAGCAAGAAAAATAAATGTTTAATTGGACTTTAAAAACTTTGATGTATAACTAAAGGCTTTAAACTTTTTTTTAATAGAGGGAAGAGGGATCAGAAACACTGTCAGGTATTTTTTTCTGTCTGTAGGGTTGGCTTGTCATCAGAACAGGATTAAAAGGATAATCCTCCAATGGGGACACCAGTTCTGATGACAACCAGGGATTACCTTACTCCCACTTGTTTTGGTTATGGCAAAAAAAAAAAATATTGGGGTTCTAACATCTCTTTCTTTATCCAAAATTAAAAACAAGCTTTGTCTTTAGTTCATCTTCAAGGCTTCGGATAGGTAGGGTGGGTACCTGACATCCACTGACACACACAGGGAGTACCTGGTAAATATTTTTCCTAATAAATGGGGCATATTATACCATTGATAAGTATATACAGGGTGTACACTGTCAGACTTCAGAGTGCTCAGATAAGAAATAAAAGATAAAATGAGGACCCTGAAAATAATAAGGAAGTATGGAGTGCTCTGAAGGACAAGTCTGCTCTCTCTTTACAAAGAAAGCAATCACATTTTGGAGAATCATGTTCCCGCACGCACATTGCAGTTATAACATGGAGAGAGCTGTGATAGGAGACAGGAACAGCATCTACAATGGGGCCATTTATGCATTTGTATGGAAAGTCTGCTATAACAATATGGTACAGCTCTGTCCCTCCAATGAAATTGCGATTCTTGTGCCTAACGGAACAAATGGTAATGGAATCTATGGTTTGGGTAAGGGAAGAAGTCCCTTTATCTGGTTTTTCTTGCCTTGGGCTCCAGGAAAGCTGAATTGTACAAAGTCTTCCAATCAGAAACATCATGAAAAGGGTTGCTCGGGTGCCCTGTCCTCATTATCATACAGACTCTGAATGGTTAAAGATAAAGCTAGCAAATTTGGCACAGAGGTACACTGTTTCCCCGAATACGTAAAGTGTTACTAAACCCACAACAGTAAAATCAGTCTGTATATGCAGTAAAGCATGCTTGTTATACTCACTGTGGAAGCTCAGAGGTTAATCCACTGCATTGTGTAAAAAGGCTGTATGATCCTGACTTCTCTGATCCTCCCCTTCTTCCTGTGTCCCCCTCTTATCTACTGATAAGACATATTGTGAGGAGGCACTCTGCACATGTTCAGTTTTTCTTTGGGAGAGTGCATGTAATCAGCACAGGGTTATCATGTAATCAGCACTGTCAGGACAGAAGTCAGGGGTTCTGCATCCTCCTAGAGCAGAATGAAAACTCATCCTACAAGCTTTAACCAGTGCTCTGCTGGACACTGATAGAAGTCACAAGACTGCTATATACTGCTAATGAGAAAAAGGTATTTAGCAGTTTATATTTACTAGAATAATTGCATTTCCATGTTGTGTGTACTGTGGGAGACCAGATATAGTGTATGCAGGGTCTGGGGAGAGACCGGATATAGTGAATGCAGGGTCCTGGGAGACCAGATATAGTGAATGCAGGGTCCTGGGAGACCAGATATAGTGAATGCAGGGTCCTGGGAGACCAGATATAGTGAATGCAGGGTCCGGGGAGGCCAGATATAGTGAATGCAGGGTCGGGGAGACCAGATATAGTGAATGCAGGGTCCGGGGACCAGATATAGACCGGGATATAGTGAATGCAGGGTCCTGGGAGACCAGATATAGTGAATGCAGGGTCCGGGAGAGACAGATATAGTGAATGCGGGTCCGGGGAGACCAGATATAGTGAAGGCAGGGTCCTGGGAGACCAGATATAGTGAATGCAGGTCCGGGGAGACCAGATATAGTGAATGCAGGGTCCTGGGGTCTTGGGGGAGACCGATATAGTGAATGCAGGGTCCGGTGAGACCGGGAGATATAGTGAATGCAGGGTCCTGGGAGAGCGGATATAGTGAATGCAGGTTCCTGGGAGACCGGATATAGTGAATACAGGGTCCTGGGAGACCAGATATAGTGAATGCAGGGTCCGGGGAGACCAGATATAGTGGATGCAGGGTCCGGGGAGACCGGATATAGTGAATGCAGGGTCCGGGGAGACCGGATATAGTGAATGCAGGGTCCCGGGAGACCAGATATAGTGGAATGCAGGGTCCGGGGAGACCAGATATAGTGAATGCAGGGTCCGGGGGTGAGACCAGATATAGTGGATGCAGGGTCCGGGGAGACCAGATATAGTGAATGCAGGGTCCTGGGTTTAGTAACACTTTCAAGAGTTATTAAACCCAAAACCAAAAATATAATATATTGCAGTTTACCAATCCTTAGATGTGGTGGCTGCATTAGTTTTCTTTTAGGCTTTTCTATTTTTATCCTTCTGTTTCCACCCAGTGATCTGGCCAGTAATACACCTCCTGGTATTAGAGTGCCCCCACTTTGAATGAAGGAGCAGCAGAGACACCTTTGGGCTGCAGCATTGTCAGTCTTGGCACAGGGGAGTGTTCGTTGCACTGGCAGATTTGGATACATTAACAAATTGAGGGCAAATGACAGCTCATACTTTATAAGCAATGACAGCAACATTTTTTTTCCCTTTTGGAATAAAAATGTTCTATAAATAAATAAAAGCTGATCAATGAGTGAGAGTGTTAACTGGTCTGTCTCAAACATCTAACTGCTACATCTCTGGGAGAGCTTGTTTTGTTTAAAATCGACAGACTTACTGGCCAGATCACAAAGTGAAACAAAAGGAGAGAAAGCATAAAAAAGAAAACTAATGCAGCCATCACATTCAAGAACTGGTGAGATTAAATATAATTCCACTTTAAAGATTATGTTCACCTTTGAAATAAAAATATTAAGTGCCTATGGTTTTGCAGGAAAAAAATGTGCATTTATTATTTTTTCACACGGGAGCCTGCAAAGCATTGCACCCATAGACAGCCACCCTGTAACAGGAATCATAGACTGATCATAGAGGCTGAGCGCAATGGAAGGGAATGTGTTAAAGGGTAACTCCAATATCGTGGGAAAAAAAAAAAAAATAATATAGCATATACAACTGTGGCACAAGTCATATTGTAATTGAAAGGTATTAAAAATGGCCTTTCCTTTTTAATCTGCAGAGCTGTAATTTCCTGTAAAATGCAATTCATTATGGCAACCTGGAGGTGTTCTGTACACAATTGGTGTACAGAACACCCCCCTCCTCCCCCCCGAAACATCAATTCCTGCTTATATCATTGGCTCACTGATTTTCCCAAAAGTCTGCATTAAGATACAAGTCAGATTTCAGGCATCCCCTGCAACAAAAACATCATTTTTGGTGAGATACTCCCTATAGGAAATCACTTCTAAAGGGATGCAGACCCTGCCACTTTCCTCATTAGAGCCCTGCAGCAGGTGCAGCAGCTGATTGAAAATTATGAATCCACTCCCATGCAGATTCACTCTGCATATGGACACAGAAAAAGGGCAGCACAGTGGCTAAATGGTTAGCACTTCTGCCTGGCAGTACTAGGGTTGCTGGTTCAAATCCCAACCACACACCACCTGCCTGGAGTTTGTATGTTCTCCCTGTGCCTGTGTGGGTTTCCTCTGGGTATTCCGGTTTCCTCCCACACTCTAAAGATATGCTGGTAGGTTAATTGGATCCTGTCTAAATTGGCCCAGTATGTGTATGTATGAATGTGAGTTAGGGACCTCAGATTGTACACACCCCTTGAGGGTTAGGGACTGATGTGAATGTACAATATATATGTAAAGTGCTGTGTAAATTGATGGCGCTATATAAGTACCTGAAATAAATAAATAAAAACCAACAGCTCTTTCTTCAGAATAACAAACAGTAGGAATCTGCAGCAAAGTTTGTTGAAGTCCCTGCAATATGCATAGATCACACAGCAGGGAATATTTCTTCTCAATAAAGGAATACTTAAATAGAACTTTTTTTTTTTTCCAGATTTTAGTTTTACTTTAATTGTCTATTAGGACAGAATTGCACAGAAAACTTAATTTGCAGGCTGATCTGTGATCAAATAAAGTCAGTGAAACTTTAGGCTTCGTAATTAGATTTCTTTTTATTATATCTAAGCTGATTGTTAAGCTGGCCACCAAACTCTTTTTATCATCCAATTTTCTTATTACCAGGATAGTTTAACCACTTGCTGACCGCGCTAAAGCCGAATGACAGCTACAGCGTGGTCGTAAAATTCTGGGAGGGCATCATTTGACGTACTCCCAGAACTGCGCCCCCCGTGTGCCCACTGATGTACACACCCAGCGCTTTCTGTGATTGCTGTGTCCTTGGGACATGTCATGGTAAGGGCTAATCTCAGTTGCCCTTTACCATGTGATCAGCTGTGTACAATCACAGCTGATTACAATGTAAATACACTTGCTGGTCATCAGCAATACTTTTCTCATGCTGTCCCGTGAGGAAAATACTGCCGATAACCGGCAAATGTGAAAGGAGACAGCTACACTGATAATCAGTGCCCTGATTATCAGTGCAGCTCAAACAGTGCCCATCAGTTCTGCCTAATAAATCAGAGTCCATCAGTGCTGACAATCAGTGCCCAGCAGTGCTGCCAATCTGTGCCCATTAGTGCTGCCAATCTGTGCCCAGCAGTGCTATCAATCAGTGTCCATCAGTGCTGCCAGTCAGTGACACCTATCAGTGCCCTTTAGTGCTGCCTATTAGTGCCCATAAGTGCCGCCTATCAGTGCTCATCATTGCCACCTATCAGTGCCCATCAGTGTTGCCTCACCAGTGCCGCCTATCAATGCCCATCAGTGCTTCCTACCAGTGCTCCCCCATCAGTGCCCATCATTGCAGTCTATCAGTGCCCATCAATGCTGCTTATTAGTGCAGCTTCATCAACGCGCATCAGTGAAGGAGAATAACTACCTGTTTGCAAAGCTTTATAATAGAAACTAATAAAAATGTTTTGTTTTTTTTTTCAAACTTTTCAATCTTTTTTCATTTGTTTGGCAAAAAATAAAATGCCCAGTGGTGATTAAATACTACCAAAAGAAAGCTCTATTTGTGTGAAAAAAAATATTAAAAAACAGTGTTGCATGACCGCGCAATTGTCATTCAAAGTATAATAGCTCTGAAAGCTGAAAATTGGCCTGGACAGGAAGGGGGTGACAGTGCCCGGTAGGCAAATGGTAAAAGCATAAGTGTATGCAGATATAAAAATATTCCAATTCAACCAAACTATATGTTTACTAAAGAGATTGTTAAATGTATTTTTTGTTCAATCATTTTAGTTAAACGTAGGTAAATAGCAGCGCAGGAACTCCATCCCATCAAATTGGGTAGTGCAATTACAAATATTGTATGATAATAGCAAAACACTACAGATAGAGTGAATGTATTGAAATATGATCTATATTTAAAATACATTTAGATTTAAAAAAAAAAAAAATATATATATATATATATATAATAGAGTGAAAGTATTGAAATATTATCTATATTTAAAATACATTTAGATAAAAAAAAAAAAAATATATATATATATATATAGATAGATATATATAAATATATATATATATATATATATATAGATAATTTGATATATATATATATATATAATAGAGTGAATGTATTATTGAAATATTATCTATATTTAAGATACATTTAGATTAAAAAAAATATATATATATATATATATATATATATAATATAATAGAGTGGAAGTATTGAAATATTATCTATATTTAAAAATACATTTAGATAAAATATATATATATATATATATATATATTTATTTATTTTATCATATATATCTATATATACTGTATATATGATATATATATATATTTATTTATTTATCATATATATATATATATATATATATATATATATATACAGTGGGGATCGAAAGTTTGGGCACCCCAGCTAAAAATTTGTATTAATGTGCATAAAGAAGCCAAGGAAAGATGGAAAAATCTCCAAAAGGCATCAAATTACAGGTTAGACATTCTTATAATATGTCAACAAAAGTTAGATTTTATTTCCATCATTTACACTTTCAAAATAACAGAAAACAAAAAAATGGCGTCTGCAAAAGTTTGGGCACCCTGCAGAATTTATAGCATGCACTGCCCCCTTTGCCAAGCTGAGACCTGCCAGTGTCATGGATTGTTCTCAATCATCGTCTGAGAAGACCAGGTGATGTCAATCTGAAAGGTTTTAAATGCCCAGACTCATCTGACCTTGCCCCAACAATCAGCACCATGGGTTCTTCTAAGCAGTTGTATAGAAAACTGAAAATGAAAATAGTTGACGCTCACAAAGCTGGAGAAGGCTATAAGGAGATAGCAAAGAGTTTTCAGATGTCAATATCCTCTGTTCGGAATGGAGTTAAGAAATGGCAGTCATCAGGAACAGTGGAAGTTAAAGCAAGATCTGGAAGACCAAGAAAAATATCAGACAGAACAGCTTGCAGGATTGTGAGAAAAAACAATTCAAAACCCACGTTTGACTGCACGATCCCTCCAGAAAGATCTGGCAGACACTGGAGTTGTGGTCACTATTCCACTATAAAGAGATACTTGTACAAATATGGTCTTCATGGAAGAGTCATCAGAAGAAAACCTCTTCTACGTCCTCACCACAAAAATCATCGTTTGAACTTTGCAAATGAACATATAGACAAGCCTGATGCATTTTGGAAACAAGTTCTGTGGACCGATGAGGTTAAAATTGAACTTTTTGGCCGGAATGAGCAAAGGTACGTTTGGAGAAGAAGGGGCACAGAATTTAATGAAAAGAACCTCTGTCCAACTGTTAAGCATGGGGTTGGATCAATCATGCTTTGGGGTTGTGTTGCAGCCAGTGGCACAGGGAACATCTCACGAGTAGAAGGAAAAATGGATTCAATAAAATTTCAGCAAATTTTGGATGGTAACTTGATGCCATCTGTGAAAAAGCTGAAGTTAAAGAGAGGATGGCTTCTACAAATGGATAATGATCCTAAACACACCTCGAAATCCACGGGGGATTACATCAAGAGGTGTAAACTGAAGGTTTTGCCATGGCCTTCACAATCTCCTGACCTCAACATAATTGAAAATCTATGGATAGACCTTAAAAGAGCAGTGCGTGACAGACAGCCCAGAAATCTCAAAGAACTGGAAGACTTTTGTAAGGAAGAATGGGCAAAGATACCTCAAACAA